CCCCAAAACCCCAAAACCCCAAAACCCCAAAACCCCTTTCGTTCAATTTAGAGTTGATTGCTGTAAAAATTTCAAAAATAATTTAAAACTGGATATTCAGCTTCTTTTGGCTGTTGCTAAGCCGAAACTTCCTGTTGTATTTGTTAAACACATGGCTTCTTGACAACATCTTGCTCATTTCCTTGCTAAAGTTGGGTGAGTTACTGCTTACCTAGAGATGGACCCTTTTATATTAAAATTGATCAGCTGAGCAATCTCCTCATTTTCCCGATCAGCTTGGTCATATTCAAGGTTATAAATCTTTTTCTCTTCACATGCTTTTGCGAAATATTTCCTGTTAGAATGTTGCTTTGCCTAAGTGTTGAATAAGGGAATTACCTCAGACAGATCCTCTGCTTCTACATCAATCTGCTAGATAAAATTAAACCAAAAATACAGAGATCTCCTTTTCAGAAATCCTTTCATCCTCAACCAACCGGTTAACTTGCTTCAACCTTTGAAATGTTTTGCTGATTTTAAATGTGCATTTACTAAAGTCTTGGATATCTTTCTTCGCTCTGGATTCATTTTCCTTACAAACCTGCATGAGCTGGCCAAGAGTAGCTTTCTCTACAAGGAGTTTAAACCTGAAAAATTACGATTATTTTAAAGCCATTCGCTTCTTGTTAGGCCGCTTTAGCCTGAATTTCTTCTTTTTAAAGTTCTTATTCTCCTTAAAACTGTTCATGGTTCCAAAATCATAGTTTGCTCTTGAAGTTATAGTAGTGGGTTCTTCACTACAGGGAGATTTAGAAGGAGAACAGCTAGCTTCAACATTGATTTGTGCATGATGAGCTTTCTCAAAATTTAGCTAAATTTTAGACAGAGCCATACCTTTAGCCGTTTCCTAGTCACTACAGGTGTCTGGATACTCATCCAGTGTATTTTGTCTGGGCTAAGCTTATGCTTCTGGGTACTCTGAGAGAACATTCGTTTATCAGGTGAAGCCAAGCTGTGCTTAGCCTCTGCTTTAATAGGCTGGTTCTTCTTGAAAATCGACTGTCTGCCTAGATACATATTTTTAGACATTGCTATACTTGTGGTGACTCGTAATGAGTGTAGTTTTGAATTGTTTGCAAACCGCTTTTTCAGGATTGAAGACTGGCTTGCAAATTTGCTTTTTTGTGCCTTCTTAAGAGATAGCAATCTCGAGTTCTGGTCCATACCTGTTAGACTTGAGTATTGAACAGGGCTCTGAAATTTGTTTGATTCTGAGCTTTCGTGCTCTAAATGGTTTAAATATAAAACCTGGATTAATAAAATATTTAGAGTAGTTACTTACTAGGAGAGGACTCCTTGTTCTTAAAGCTGATTCTAGATGGCTGAAAAAGTACTAAACCTGTTAGAAGAAATATCCCTCGGTGAGTTACCTTGGCTAGTCGAGCGCCTTTGGTTTAGCATATTTTTAGTAAAATTTCCTAATTTATCCGTTTCTAGTATATTATATAACTCAGAAATACCAGATTCAGGAGCTAGATCACTGTTGATCGAGTCATCTATACCAGAGATATAACCAGAAGATAGCATGATAAGGTCCTTACCACCTTCATGAGTCTTTTGGATATTCTCGAAGAACTGAATCATATTTCGAAGTTCAGACTTCATTTTCTTCATTTGTTCCGCCTTGAAACGACTGAGTTTCTGCTTGCGCATAGACATAGTGGTTGTTTGAGGAGGGACTATCCATTTTGAATAAAATTGTTTTTCGAATCTAAGTAAGAGATTTGGTTATCACCCAAAAAGTGTACTAAGGCTTACTCATGAGAAAGACCTCCATCATCAGAAGCGATGTATTCTACAGGATTAGAGGTAAATTTACTATTTCTTCGAGCAAAGCTTGTTTATATCCAGTTTTGGGATCTGGAAAATGTTCGAAATATCTGAAGTTAAACAGAACCTTACACTGAGATCTGACATGAGGGATTTTAGCAGTGTTACTTGATAATGCATCAGATCTAAAGAGATATAGGTAGTGAACCTTTGTATGAAATAGTACCTTTGGGAGTTTAAACTTTCGGTTTCAGGGGGTAAATTTTTGGTCCCTGCCTTATTTGAAGTTTGAAAGCGATTTTTTCAGAGTTTTAATTTTGCGTGACTAGTATAACTTTTCTTTGGTCTATTATGACACAACTCCTCCTTTGTAATCAACAAATCCTTGTTAAGCTCGTCCCTAAACCAAATATACTCGATCAGACACCCCCAGCACACCCCACTCCTCTTTCCACCCCTCCTGACCCCTTATGCAACAAGCTTCTTACATATTATCAATAATAATCAATAATTATAACCCCACTTGGGGTTTTGGGGTTTTGGGGTTTTGGGG